TTTATTAAATCTTGATACATCCCAAACAACAAAAAGTCTAAAATTATGATATGATTTTTAAATCGTCTTTTAAACGCAAAAAAAATGATATGATTTTAAACACTTTTTGTCTGGAATATTTCTTTAAACAATAACTAAATAAACATTTATTTACAGTAAATAAATATTTATTTAATAAAAAAGATAATAGTTTGATTTTTTATATTAAATAAATATTTATTTAGAATTATTCAAACAAATATTTATTAAATTTTAATATTTTTCTTCAGTGCAACAAAATAAAAACTTTCAAGATTGCCATAGACTTTCGAAAAACCGGGAAAATCAGAAAAAATCAAGGGAATTGAAATTAGTGGAAAATTGGGAAAAATTAGGAGAAAATGTAAACAAGTTTGTAATGTTGAAATTTGCTCACAATTTTCTTAAACTGCTCCTTCCAGATAATTGTTATTTTTTAATATTATATCTGATGTTTATAGGGAAGTACATTCAAAACTCGTACACTTTGATCAATTTTAATAAAATAATTAAAATTTATATTTTATTCAGAGTATTTCTATTTGATCGCCCTTTTTCGTAACTGCATTTTTTTCCAATACTAATTTATTTTTTGTTGACTTGAATTTGCACTCAAAATTTTAGTATGCTGCTAATCTTTTTTGCATTGTTTTTAATAGTATAGACTAGCTTTCCTACAATTTTTGATTTTCAATGTATTAAAATTTACATATTTTATATTGGGAAATTTTCCATTTTCATCCGGAAAGAAACCTGGAAAAGTCAGGGAATATTTAATATTTATTTTTTTGTGGCAATCTTAAAAATAGACCTAGTGATCATTTCATCTTCGTTAAACATTGTCAAACAAGGATTCACTGTGTTACATTGTGTCATCTGTGTCCTTTGCTGGAAAGCTCCTCATATCTCTCGGAAGATAGAGTCTGAAAGTTTTGGGCCGCTCCATCCGACCGACACACAGATGACCGTGGACTTCCGACACCAACGATGGTGTATTGAAAAGTTCTCATTCGTTCAGTCGCGTAATCATCTACGTGTGTGAGTGACACAAATTCACTTGGACGTGGATCGACGTGGATACGTGCACGAAACACGTGATTCCACACGGGTGGGGACACGAGCGCGTCTCGTGGGTGGTTTCGTTGGTTCTACTCGTATGGCTCTATGGCTCAGTGCATAATCGCGATTCACGTATCCTACAGGTCACGGTTCTGCCGCTGAATCGCGGCTGGTTAACATGGACGTCGTCGTCATCGTCGTCGTTGGAATTCTCGCCTAAATTTAACGCACTCGTTCGTGCCTCGGCAACGTGCGACGCTTCACGTTTGTCATCGTCATACTTCGTGCGTGCACTCTGCAAAGTCGTAGATGTTCATTAACCGGTACCGTTGCGAAAAGCGCAAATCGATTCGCGCCTGCAAAATCTGTCATAAAAATATGACGTGTGAAGGAATTCATCGGTTGAGACTGAACGTAAATCATAAAACTGTTTTGCTGAATTTATTAATTTTAAATTTCTTTCATCTAACATTTATTTATATATTAAGGAATTTTTTAATAACTTTTTTGCTATCGCGAGTTTTTAATAAATGAAACGAGAGATGATACGTGTGTTATCTATTGCAACATCGAACCGTTTCTTTCAGATGACACAAAAGTCGAGCAAAGCTACGCCAATCAGAACGGTGCTCTGAAGAGCTGCCCGAGCGAGCAACAAAGCGACGCTAAGAAAGGTAAGAAACGCTTTGTTATTGGAGATTATATATTTAGGAATGTTGGGCTGGACGACGCTTTCTGCATGAAATACTGTACGATATCTTCTTCCTTCTTTTCTTCATCAAGCATCATCTTGTGATTGCGATTGTCTGGAACGATCTTTCTAAAAGCCTGCCGAATTGTCTCGCGTAAAAGGAAACTGGAATATGAGTAAATATTCCGTATATAGGTAAAGTATGCGGTGTATTAAAAATTGGCATAGTAAAGTTCCTTAAGAATTCCGGTATGGAAATATTTTGGGGATATTGAGATGCATGCTGGAATTGTTAAGATTGTATTTAAACTAAAGAACAAAATAATTTTAGTGACTAAGAAATTAAAAAAAAAAACCATTTTAATTTTATCTTTCCTATCTTTTCTTTAAGTCAGAATGGAAACATTTCGTGTCCAATAGAAATTCGTGGGAAAAATTGAAGCTGTAACTTTCTGCAAAATGCAGTACGGTAACATCTTTCCGTCGTAATACTCTTAGAAACTTTCAAATCCCGTTGCTCCTTTCCGGACGATGCGGGAAAATCGTAACGAGCCGTCGTCTTTAAACGTGAAAATAAGAGCGCGTCAAATGCACGTACATGGGCGTGTAAGAAAAATCCCGAGTCGGGAAACTCGTGGCGGATATTAGATAAAAGAGAACGAAGAGAAACAGAAAGCGGAGAAGGTCGGAAAAGTTACCGTAAAACGACCGTGACGCGATATTTCCAACAAGAATTCTACGAGAGAAGAGAAAGAAGAAGGCAAGAAAGTGAGAGAGAGAGAGAGAGAGAGAGAGAGAGAGAGAGAGAGAGAGAGAGAGAGAGAGAGAGAGAAGACGATGTGCCAGAACGTGCGCTACGAGTTTTTCCACAAATTCACGACATCGTAGGACATTGCGACCTTCTGGATTACGCAACCGACGCGGAGGACTACGCCGTGATGCCGCAGGGCAATGCGCGCAACCGCAACCGCAGCCGCAGGAATCGGAACCGACGGCGACCTCCTCAGCCATCGACGAACATCACGGAATCCTCGCGAAAGGCCGAGCAGAGGAAGCTCGAGGAGGAAAATCGTCTGACTTCGAGGAACGAGCGCGATAACGGCGACGATGACGATGACGACAACTCGAAGACGAACGACTCCGTCGCGGAGAATCCCGTTCCGGAGAATGTCGACTTGACCGAAAACGAGGATCGGGGCGGATCCTCGTTGAATCACAGATGCAGATTCCAACCGAACGATAAGCGCAGAATCGAGAAGATCGACTTGGCAGAATCTCGTCCCGGGATAATCGAGATCACGACCGTCAGCAGTTTACCTCTGGAAGCGACGATCGGCCATATCGCCGGGGTGGGTATTTTGGAGACCGGAAATGGTAACGGAGCATTGAAGGAAGCAACGATAGTGACGATATCGGAACCAGTGGAATTGGTACGACCGCTTTCTGGTTGTATAAAGACCAGGCTCTCGCGAGAGAATGAGACTCGATTGGAGATTCGAGAAGTCAATGACAGCGATGCGGAGGCCGATTGTGGGTCAGCAATCGTCGAATTCGAATCCGATGCAGAGTCGGTCGGGGGACAGGATTCCGAGGATCGCGTGGAATTCAAGCCAAGGGATCGGATCGGGCAGCAATACGTGCCACAGAAAAAGTTTCCCAAACCGGAAATGGAATCCCCGACTCTGATGTGGGCCACCGTGATGCCTAGAGACGTGGAGAAAAAGCTGCGAAATTTTATCGAGGACCTGCAACTACCGAGTTTCTCCGAAGAAGTAATTGAGGATGAGGGGAGATCTCTCGAGAAAATTACGTGCGATTTCGCGGCAGAAGAGAACAGATCCTTTGAAAAAGCAGCTAGCTCGCCACGTCGGAAAACGAGGAAGCGCGCGATGTCGGCGTCGCATTACGCCAGCAGCTTTCTGGATATTATACAAGAGGAGGGTGAAAGATTATCGGAAGACGAGGCACAACATATCAGAGATTTCATAAATGAAGAAATCAGCAAGTATCGGCGCGAAGACAGGCATTCTGTCGAGAAGATGACATCGATGGATGACATCGAAGCGAGAAGGGTTGATACTGATAAAATTGAATTGGCTGATGAGAAATCGGAATGCGATATTAAGATTAAGATTGATACGATGAAGAATGACATTTCGGAATTATGTTCACGCGATAAAGCAAACACTGGCGACGAGATTAAAAACGTCGCGAGTCCTGAAACCGAAGTAATAAAAGACATTGATCCTGTGACTGAAATGATGAGCGAAAAAATGAATGCAAAGGACGACATCCTAAATAATGAATCTCTGGAAACTTTAGTAGACGCGACGAGAGCTAATTTAAACCTCGAGGACTGTTGTATTATTGAGGAAATTGAGATTGTGAAAAATGATACTACGAAAGACGGTGAGGAAAATAATGAAGCGGAGAAGCTAGAAAAAAACGTGACAAGTATTGTGACTGTAAGTGATATCAGTGACGCAGATGTAAGTAAAGCGGAAGGTAATAAATTTTCGTCCGCAGTCGAGGCACCTGCAAAATCAGACAACCGCGATGTTCCACGAAAAGATTCCATCGAGACTTGCAGGATCGTTAATCACAGCTTATCACAAGTGGATGACAGAGTTGATTCAGCTTCGAATTCGTCATCGAGCGAAGTAACCCTGTCGGAAACGAAGCAACCGCCGCCTCTACCGAAGAGGTCATCTAGTTTCAGCCGCGAGCCTCAGAGACCGCCGACGCCACCTGAAATAGACTATATTTCGAGCGGCGCGAAGATTCAGACGTCTGTTGCGGCGAACGGCGACGGACGCAAACACGACGAGTCGACGAATTTATCCGTGCGGAAGCTTGCGAGTTGTGAAGCGGCGGACGACGAGCTGCCACGACGGCCGGAGCTTCCCGGAGTTTGCAAGAGTTCTTGCATGTCGAGGACCGGTCGGGCAATTTATAGCGAAGATTTTTCGAGCTCGCGTGACCTCATCTCGACAATCGTTCGCGCTAATGAGATTCGTGGCCGTATAAATCAGGTCAGACGCGCCGACACCGCTCCGACAACCGAGAACGTTAAAGTTTCGACCGAGGGCGGTCGATCGATCGCGTCATCGGGTATTCGCGACGATGATCTGTCACGCTCGCGCGACACCGGTACGCACGTCGTCACGTTGGCAAGCACGACTAGCACGGAAATAACGCGTCGCGAGGAAGGGAAATTCGCGACGCCCGCTGCATCGGTAGCTTATGATCAAAACGCGTCGTCGTGCCGGCAGAAGGGTGAGGCCGATGTGTGCCGGTATCCCTCGGGTCAGGAAAAACACACGAATTCGGAAAGGAAGGATTCTTCAGCGAATCACGAATCACCGAGGTGCAATAAATCAGATACTCATTCGAATTTTTCGGTGAGAGACAAATCGACGATGGGTACGTCGAGTTCAAAAAGCAAGAAGAAACCCGAGGGAAAAATCGAGAAGAACGAGAAATCGACATCTGGCCTTCACCGCGAACGAATAGTGAAGAGTGAGATGTCGGAGACGAGAATAATCGAACGACACGAGGAGAGTATGAGCGCTAACCAGCGCGATGGCCTTCGCAATTCGAAGTATTCGACGTGGGAGTCGAAGCGCGAAGAGAGGCGCGAGGAAAAGCACGAGGAAGAAACGCGCAGCTCATCCCGAGAGAGCGACATGAGGAATTCGTCCGACGACGAGGCAAGCTTTCAAAGAACGGACGTCCCAGTGAGCGAGAGTCCCTCGCTTGAGGATGAGTTAATCGATGTTCAAGGACATGACTCGTCCAGCAGCACCACATCCTTGAACACCGTAAAGCATCGTCCATTGGAAGCGTCGTTGACCGATATTACCGAGATTGTCCGCGAGACGAGAGAGGAGAATTTGAAAGACGAAGTGGGAGAATCTCTGAAACGGAAGCTCACCTTGCTGAAAAACACGGAAAGATCCGCAAATGAGACGACGCCGAGAGAGAATTCGAAATCACCTCAGCCGGTCCCTTACTCGCCTGTGGAGGATTTTTATCATGTGCCATTGAAGAAAGCGGTTTCAGAAACTCCTGAGGCAGCCACGAAAGACGTGTTGCGACAACCACCTTCTCTCAGGAAGCTCTGCGTTGAGAGGATTCTGTCGATGCCGTATGGACCGCAAGTGATAGGCGAGATCACTACGCCAAAGTTCAACATCTTCGAGAGTTTGCGGACTCTACAGAGGTTTGTGAGTGACGCGCCGGCGCATCTACATGATAACGCTCGACTAAACTCAATGCATGGAGTGAGTGATCGACGGCACGGACTAACGAAAACGTCGGACGAGAGTGAGCGGCATCGTCTTAACGACATTACGAACGCTGTTTCAGACCAGGCCAAGTTACCGAAAAGCATTAATATTGAGTTGTCAGAATCGGAAAACGAAATGGAGAACCGGGAACCACGGTGGCGTGCGCTCATTACAACGGACCCCAGGCTTCTGGTATGCTTGTCGCCGTCGCAACAGGCCACGCAGGTTCGCACGAGTGCCGATACTCTGCTGGACCTTCATCGAAAGTTCCTAAATCGGTATAGTTACCACGAGGAACAGCCACATTATGTTCCTCTGCCGCAGTACCGAGTTGAGATTCATCCGATCAAAGAGGATAATAATGCGATTTCGAAAATATCTAAGCCGACTATTCGAGCGAGTCATCGAGACAACATGATCGATAGTTCTAGCAGCAGGCTGCTGGAAATTATCAAGGAAGAACGAAACAGTCCTCGAAACGATACACTCGCGGATCAGACGAAGACGATAACCGATGACGCCATTGGCGACTCTTTTGGGCGCAGGGGTCAAGAATGTTTCAAGGCCGAGTCTCGGCCGAGCGACTGGTTGAATCTAGTCAGACACGATCGCCGAAGTGCCACTACGAACGAGCTATTCTTGGCGGCAACGAGAGGCGAGGATGGCGAATCGAGCGACGATAAGCCGAATGGTCACGTGGTCCAGTCTGATCGGCTTAAGATTGCGACACGTTCTGCCGCTCGGGCTGAACATCGATTGTCGGCAAACAACAACGCGATAACTCACGATTCAGAGAGATTGTTAGCGAATAATATTAAGTGTCCGATCGTGCTGAACGGTACCGATCGATTGATGGATGCTACTGGCAAGAGGACGCCTCCTCTCAGGAAGACAATCGATCTTGGCAAGCACGTGAATCCGGCGTTGATCGACAACAAACTCGAGATACCACCGTTGCCGAAGCGCGCGGTCACGGTCGATAGATCGTGCATCGATACGACGAGTATTTTTGATCAGAGTCCGCCGAGAAATCGTCTGGAACCACGAAAAAGACACCATGAAGCGGAGAAATTGAAACACGTGGCCGCTGTGGAGATCATGGATAAATTGAAAGAGCTACAGACGGAAACATCACGGCGGCTCGACGATGATAAGAAGGGCTCCTTACCTCAAGAATATTTCGCTCAGCAGCTGAGATATATCGAGTTGTTGGAAGATCAACTAAAAAACGTGATATTAGCGGAAGAGGAGGAAAGAAAGGCTTTCGAGGAATTTCAAACGCATTTTCATCGAACGAAACAATGTGACGACACGAGGAGATCGTCTCCCGAAGAAACCTCGAAAAAAATCAGCTTAAATCTCGAACGTGAACGTAAAATTCCGATCGATGTCCATGGGATGACAGACGGAAAATGTGGGGAAGATATGCGAGCGGGACCTCGAGGTCTCGAGGAGAAATGCTTCAAAGAGATCTATCGAAGCGAGCCGAGAATTCAAAAAGAATCTTGGCAAGAGAAGTCACGGAATATAGAAAAGAATCGTATAGAGACGATTGATAAAGTAGGCAATCGGCAGTTTTTGAAGAAAGTATATCATGAGAACGGGCATCACGAAGAGAAATCCTCAGAAAGTATTAAACATGAGGAACGCCATGTGATCACGCAGAAGGAAAACTTGGCGAGAATGGAGGAAAATGGAACGTTTAAGTCTCGCGAGGACGAAATGAACGATCGTTGCACGAAAACGCAGTCGACAGGGACACCGAGAAACGACTCTGAGGTGTTCACTGAAAAGATGACTCAGCGTAAGAACGTTGAAGTGAGGAGACCGACGAAATTACCAACGAACGGGGAGGCATTTCGCCAGCGAATGTACGACGAGTACGTGCACAAGGTATTAGAGCGGCAGGAGCGGAAGAGCCACAAAGTCGTGAAGATCAGCTCGCACGAAGATATCAAACGCAAAGCGGATGGTAACATGAGCGCGATGGCAAAGGAATTCATCGAGAAGGCACGCAGCAGATTGAACAAGTTCGGGATCAATCTCGATGAGAGCGGGACGGAGCACGAGGATGAAGATGGCGATGCTCTGATCAACGCGAAGTTCCTAATAGACGGCAAGGAGCTGCAGGACATTCGGAAGCTGCCGAAACATCTGCAGGAGTTCTTGAAGATCTCCACGATGAGCGACGACGAGGGCGGTGAGTTACGGCGATTGGAATGGACGATGGAGTTTGCTGTGTTGCTCGTCGTGTTGCGATGATGATTGGTGCCGTGCCGATTGGTGGCTGCTGAGAAAGAATGTCCCGTCCGGAAGTCAAACAAATCCGTCTTGAACTCTCGAATGTCTCGCCAAGGGACGCCTTTTAACAACCACTAACGTAACGTGCGCATCTTGTTCGACGTCCGTAGATGCCTTAGTGTTTGTCGTCACTAACGTTCTTGGTATTATGCTAATTCTTTTTATCTGTTCACCTGGTGCCAACAATACATGAAAGGACTGTTGGATAAAAAATGAAGGAAGGATAAATAATTAATCTTTTATTAAAATGTTTATTCAGCGCAATGTCCCTTTTACAAACTCGTTTTAATAAATGATTTAAAGAGACTGAAAGCAACGATATAAAATTTCACATAATAAAGCGCGATAAAGTAATATTCATATTACAATTGATTGAAATAATTGAAATATTTTTTTGGAATATCACAAATTTCTCATCTTCAATTCAGTACAAATAAAACTGAATTGTAAAATTTAAAACATCACGATTTGATTAAAATTATTGAAAAGCGAAAAATTGGGGATTTCTCCAATAAATGTTCTCGTCGGATCGCTTTAGCTATCACATCGTAAGCGAACTTTCTTAATATGGGAGACAAGCGGTAACATCGAAACGGAAATCTCATTACTGTCTTGAGTACTGTTTTCCTGCACAGCTCCGGAGGCAAGATTAGTTCTCTCGGCAAAGCGGAAGCGCGTCGATCTATTTACGTTGGTGCAGGTCGTGCAGCATCATAATCACACAGTCCAGATTGCTCCAATTCCGTAATCCGATTAATAACTCATCTCGCAACGATACGATCAGTCTTGTACAAATAATGAATCTCATTGTATGCATAAAACGCGCGAGTTAACGTGATATTGTAACAAATATGCGTGTTTACGCGCTTTCCTCTCATTGCCAGCTCTCTGCCTAATGTGATATCGAGTACGCCTGCAGCGGGATTTAATATTCCGCGATATAAATCCGGCACGCAATCGACACGCGTGCTGCTCGTATATTTTGACATTTATTTTGAGACGTGATCGATTCATCAAACCGACGCTATGGAAAATTATTGCGTTAACATTCGTGTTCGTGGCGCTGAGAAGAACGTCGCGGATAATGAACCGCGACAGTTTGCGATAACGGATATCAACGTGGAGATACAGAGGCTATCAAATTGCGTCATGTCGTTCACGCGTCGACTCCCTGGAGCCGATTATAGTCGCAGAATCTTTAATCTTGTCATCGTTATACCGGGTAATTCAAAGATATCTCTCTTTCTTCGAGATAATAAGATGACAATGCAAAATTGACTGTTTTTTAAACTCTCTAAATTCTTTGGAGTGAAATCTCACTCTAAAAAATGAAAATTCTATCATTCTTTTTCAAGAATGAATTTTTAATATTTAAGAGTGAGATTTTAGTCTTTAGAATGAGATTCCACTGTGAAGAATTTAGAGAAAAGTTCCCACAAAATTCTATTCGACACGATGCGTTTTCTATCGCTATCGACGTTGTCATTTAGATAGTGCCACGTTTGATGATAGTAGAATACTAGCCTGCGATTTACTCTTTCCTTCATCCCGCGATCGCCGGGGCGCGGCGTTTGTGATTCATTGGAGGATGGGAATCTAAATATAAAGACACCGCGACGAGAAATAGGCCAATCGCTCATAGGACGTGTTCGCCATTTCGGCCAGTGCGCCGGAACCACCGTTCTCTTGTTTTCAGCTATTTTCAATCACGCGACGTGGCCTACTGGCCCGCACATCCTTTCGTGGAAACTGAGAATTTTTCTCTGTTAAATTGTTTATATATACATATTATACTCTATCTACAATTAAGAAGTACTTGATGATATTTTGGAGTTCGCCATAATATGATGATCGAATAGAATCCACAGAAGTTCTTAACATTTAAGCAAATATTTTTAGCATCCTTTTGTTTTTAAGAGCTTTAAAATTTTTTGTCAAAAGCTTCAATTGTGATGATATAATTAATGTAAATGAAGATTCTCTCATTTGTTTTGATAAATCATTCATCTTCGCATCTCATCTAAAATCGCTTTTTTCACCACGTATTGCATGCTCGCTTTTTTTAATCTTTCAGCCCACTTGTTTGCTGACAGTACATGTACATGTTATGAATATATTACAATAGGTACGGCACGAGTGCACGTTTTGTTCAAATATTTTTACACCAATCAATTCTCTTGCAGAGAGAAAAATATATGAAAAAAACGGCGATGTTAGATGTATTAGTTGATATTTGATAAAAGTCGTTTATTCGTGCAACAATGTTAATTTTTATTGACACATTGTCAAAGCGTGCGGACATCGTTCGTCTATTACTATTAACTCACTGCGGTTATTTGTATTTCGTAAGTCTCGTGAACTTTTCGACGCGGTTACCGAAGCGCCTGTTTATTTTCTATTCTAACTTTAGCACGAAAGTTTAGCCACAGCATGCGTTCCGTCGAGACTAAATGTGCGAATTTAGGATACCGTATCCGTCTGTGGATACAAGATTATTTGTATCATTTCAATTGATACATCAATTCTTTTTTTTCTTTTTTTATAAACGACTGACGGATATTTAAAAATCTTGAAGAATTTCTTTGTCGTTCAATTCTGGCTTGCGACTTGCTAACAAGTTCACGGCGCGCTGCTCGAAATTAATTTTATTGCATCTTTTTATTTTTTTTTTCTTTTTGGTGGATATGGGCATATGCTTTGTTAATCAAAGAGAGCGGCTGCGATGCCATTGCGAAGAGAAGAGTCAGGAATGAAAATGATCTGCTGCACGAGATCGACAAAGCTTTAAGAATCGGCAGGGGATTTCTACTTGGGCAAGGTGCGTTTGCAATTTTGCTTAATCACTGCATGCGTTACATAAAAAATATCATTATTGAATGCTTTGTGACATTATTTGCAAAAAATATTAATATTGAAAAACTGAAATGTCCCGGATGAATTATAGAATTAAGTCTTTTCTGTGGCTGAACTAGTATACACTTTTGAGACTTAAAGTGAGACAGATACATATTTTATATTTGGTCAAAGCGAGAAAGAGAATTCTAGTGCAGTCTAATGCAGGGATAAAAAACAAATTTATCATATGAAATTTTAAACAGTATTTATTTTACTTTAATATTACTTTATTTTAACGTCGGATTGAAGATTGAGAGAATTCAAATCCATTTTCCAAGCAAACGTATACACACGTATATAGCTCGGTTTGTTGGCAGTGGATTCAAGATTTCGTGTAGAGTAGCCTCGAACGACGTCGACGTCGGCGTAGTAAGCGTCGCGCGGCGTGGCGTCGAGTCTCGTCGGCGCGGCGTCGCGACGCTTCAGTCGGCTGGCACCTACCGTGCTACTTTCTCGTGTCTCGCCGAGAAGAGTATCCCATTGAGATACGCGGTGCCGCGAATAAAAAAAGAGGTCGTTGAAATCGTAAAGACGATGTTGGAGAAAAGTGAGTGATTTCGAAAAAGTTGACGCATTATCGAAGGATAGCGAGGGATGAAGGCATGATAGGTGTTCGTAAATTTCTTCAACAGGTAGTTCCGCGATCGTAAGGAAGCTCGGAATTCGCATCTTTCCGAAGGAAATCCTCAAAAAAGGATTACGTTTTGTTTTTCAAATTATTGCCTTTCAAATCAACGAGAAAATTCATAAGAAAGTATAAAGATGTTAAATTGGCAAAAATAAATAAGATAATTGACGCGACAGAAATTAATTTTATCTTAAGATATATTGAAGGAACTTCATAAACAAGTAGAGTAATTCGATAAATTCTGATTTTAATATTCGTAAGTTATACGATCAGTTTTCGAAATGCATTATGGCGCTGGTATACTCTTAGTCTGTTGGAATAAAGCAGTCTACTTGGTTTTATTCTTCTCTTTGCGCTCGTTTCGCGGCATTCCATCAAGATCGCTTTTATATTAATGAATAGTGGCGGTTTCATCGTGAAAGTAACTTTGAAGAGCTCTCCAGATGATATTGAACGCGGAGTGTAATATAAGTCTTACATCGCGCAGTTGACTTGCGACAAGCATCAAGATATTCCGCGTTGATAGTTAATGATTTAGATTAGAAAAATTGTCACAGACGTATGAATTAATTATGATGAGAAATCGTGAGATACGTGAAAAGAAATTCGTTCAAAAATTTGTCATTAAAAATAATACGATTTACGAAATGGCGAGAACCCGAGACATTTTGTTTGACAAAATGTTGTTTAATTCTTTCAGAAAACGTTATGTTCGCCCCCACGTTTAAAGCCTCGTCGGCGAAACCAGGTAAACCTGCGCGAGGAATGTGTGAAGAAAACTAACAGAATAATTTCGTCGTGCATCTTGCATAATGACTGAAGATGCAATCCGAAATATTAATATCCAACGTTGCCCCTTCTCGAGTAACTACAAGAATATTTGTCTATTAACATTTTTAATGGAACTTTCGATAATTAATTAATTAACTTTTCGAATATACTGGAGCCAGTAATTGAATGATGAACAACGCGATAAGAGAAATGGAATTGCCATTGGGAGAGTGTGCTTCTATTACGTTAACCAACGTTCGTTTCGAAAATGTAATAAAATTAATTACGTATGTAGGATATAGATCGTATTGTGTGGGGCGGCCACGTGTGTTCTTAGCAACGAGATTGTAATTAAGTCCCTGCCACACATACACGTGTGCGTATCTCCGTATTTCCCCGAGTAAAATGCGTAATCTTGTTTAGTAATTTATCCAGGAAGGAAGAGGCATTAATTTTGGTTACCGAGAACGTCGTCCTTACAGTATCGGTGTTTCGACTAATCACCATTGCCACGGTTGTTAGTTGCGAATAGCGTGTGCATGTCGATACACGATCCAAAAACGATGGCAATTCTATGTTTTTGACATTTCGAATGCTGGATGCAGCTGGCGTCGCGACAGCATTGATTAATCGCACGTACGTTGCAATTAGTGAAAATGTATAGCCGTTATTGTCGTACATAGATTGTAACATGTGTAACATCAATTATTGTATAGTAAGTGAAAATCAGCAAAGAAATGTTCACACAAATAAGCGAAGAAGACCATATTCATTTAAAGTGAATCTTGATGCCTAATAATATTTTTATATAAATCTTAATTTCTAGTTTGATTTAATTATCTCATCTCCGGATAAACATATGTTATCTCTCAATGATTATATCGATTTCAAGGAAAATAAAGGCCAAAGCTGAATATCTAAAGATTTTATTCCTAAATATTTCCAAGATAGTTTGTGACTGTCAGAAATGTGTTTGAATTTCTGAAATTTTCACGCAATATATCTGAGATAACTTCCAAGTTAAGCACAAATTATCATAATATCAAAATGATGTCAAAATAACTGCAAATTTTATTATTAAAATTTTATTATTAAAAAATTTTATTATTATCACTTTTCAGTCAATCAAGACTTATTTTGATGTTATTGTGACTTTGTTATTCTGTTTGGGTTAATATTGTTTTTGCACAAAATTAAAATTGTCGATAATTTCTATAAAAATTCGCTCATTCCAAGTATATTATATTTGGAATGTTAATTAGAAAGAAATTTTTCTTAATGTTAGACAAAATTGAGTTTTGAAAAAAATAAATAAATATAAAGAACCTGAACTAAAGGACTCTGTCCTTTACAATAAAGGACGTGATCACTACAGTTACCTCAGCAGTCATGCATGTTGAAGGTTGTTTGAGACAAAATGTTGTTTCTTTGTAACGACTCGATCAGAAAGCCCAGATATTTATGTTTTTCCCAATTTCTTTATCTCCGCATTCGATTCCTCTTAATCAACCCGAATTCATATTCATCGAATGCGTAACGTTTCGCTAAAGTGTCGTGCGCAGAAAATGTATCGCTCCAGAAAATGCGTCGCCGCGGCATTGTGTTCAGGTTGTTCTCGGCCAATTGCAATTATGCGTATCTCATAATACCTAACGCCGCCCACACGAGCTTCTAATTTTACCAGCGTCCCAAATGAACTACCCCTGATTTCCTGTTGCCGCGCGACCGCGAGAGATATGGTTCTGTAAATTGGCCGAGAGGTTCAATTCCGACTGGCATATGTGCCTGACTCACTGTAGCGACGATGTATCTTTATCGTGCTCGTAACGTTCCCCATCTGACATTCAAACGTCGTCACCCGTCAATAACTTCGTTTATGTCACCGACGCGACATTGCGACATGACATTTGTTCTTATTTAGACCGCGGTAACGAGGTAATAAAATCTTTGTTTATCAGCCGTTAAAAAAAATATTACTCCGAGGTTAGAAACGGCGATCTGTAAAAGTATCTTTCCTACGGTTTCATTTCTTTCCAGATTGTTTACGCGATTAATATAAATGGATATGATTTTCGGATCGTTTACGTCAAAGAACCGTTTTTAAATCGAATTAGTAATAGGCAATGACGTGGCAAAATGAGGAAGTAGTAAGGAAAAAGATGATCCCTTATGTAATGCTCCCCTGTGTGCCAAGATTAGCGTCCGTACATTTCATATATTAGCTTTAGTGCCAATCCACCAAATCCATACAGCATAGCTGTTGCAGGAGTAAAGACCTTTTGTTCCTTTATTGGCAGTCTTTCTTTAATTAGCTCCTATATCAGGAACTATATTGAATTATAACACATAAATTTAAAAATGATAAAAGCTGGGTTCATTTATAGGAAGTAATCGATCGGCTTGGCCTTCTTTTTTAATAAGATTATTGTTAGTCCATCTGACGATAACCAAATTTGCCTGACAATGAGTGTTGATTAACAAAGGTCTCGTGGATATACCATATCAATTACATTCTTAAAAGTGAATTTTCGTTGCCAGGCGTTTGGTCGCCAGGACAAACGCCAGCTGAGAAGGCACCGAGTCCCGAACGAAAAAAAGAATCACAGAAGAAGAACGAGCCGATTCCGTCGGTTTGGACTCCCACTAGCGCCGGCGCGAGCCCTGTCGCTGAGAGGAAGGAATTTCGTCCTGTGCCATTCGATAGTCCTGTACTAAGCCGGAAGAGACAGCCGAAGGAAGTATGTCAGCCAATTATATCGAGACGTTAGCTATAATTATCTGGCATAAAAATTAAATTCGTGATTGATTAAATCATTAACTTTTTGTGGGCGTGCCCGTTTGAACACACCTTTCATTTTGTAAACTGCTCATTCGAGTGTCATGAAACTCGATCTATACAGGATATTTGATACTTTGATATATATACAGATATTTAATATGTACAGAATTTGATAATGATTTATTCGATTTTGCAATCAAAAATAAATTTAAAATGGTAGATTCAATATAGTGGGTACAATGTAAAAATAATCTGATTATTATAATCTGATTATTATAAATATCCTCATAATAATAATTTGATAATGTTTTATTTGATTTTTAAAAAACATTAAAAATGTAATAGAATCAATATATAATGAATACACAAAATTTCCAAAACAATCCGATTATCACATACAACATGGTTTTAGAGAATTTTTAATTACGAAGTATCATCAAGTTTTGAATTTCGCTTTATTTGAAGCTCATCAGTGCTATGCAAACAGTTAGTGCTGATTTTCAAACTAACTTCCAAACTCTGATTATGAATCTTATGATATACCAAATCCTCTTTCATTGAAAGTTACTCTTTTGAAATTTGAGATTTTCAGGCTACATTTAAACTCAGCGATACCAAGAATCTCCTAAAATCGAGTTTCGTGATAGTCTTGAATTTTAAAATTTTGAGGCCAGAATCGAATTCAGTGTCTTCCCTTAGAAAACAAGGTTCCTTGTAAGTTTCTTTGCATCTTCAAAGGGTTAAGTTTGGCGAACAAACTTGGAATAAAATCCAATTCGGACAACTCTTTAGTAAATACAGTAATAAAAATTCTCTTGACAAAGGAAAGAACGGAAAGCTATAATATGTATGATCGCTTTATTCGAATCATCTTCTTGCATCGATGATAAAAAGTTCAAAGATGCGCACTCTTACACGAGATTCTGTTCAAGGAGGCGCCTCCGCCCTGGGAAGGCGAAGAGAAGAAGGAGAGTGGCATCTCGCGAATCGTGAATTCGCATTCGGCACCCTCTCAGGGGTTGAATACCCTCGCGTCTACGCCGCGATTGCCACGTGCCCAGAATCCGACCATCACATTGCTGCAGAAAGCGCGAGGTCAGCACCCATTATAAGAATTCTTCTGCTTATCGGAGGCAGAATGAATGAGGATATCAAAGATTTGCGGAATTACATTTTTTTATTCTTCGTTACACTAAATTACCATTGCGATTTTATTGTAGAGGGACAATTGCCGAAAGGCGCAGCTTACTTGGAGGAAAGCGATAATCGGCCAGTGAACGACGAAAGACCGCTAATCTCTCCGGGAGAGATAAGTAAGTATCGATCAGTTATAAGCCAACTAGTCGAATGTTATAGCATTATGATTATTATATTATGGTTCGTTTTTTATATGAAAGCCGCCCAATATAAACGTATCCAATATAAATGATTTTCGAAAATTCGTTTATGTTTCTTATTATCACTAACGTCGCTAATTAGCTGTGTCTAATTACTATATGTGTCGACCTATTTTCTGATTGCGTACGCGAGTGCTAATGATTTATTGTGAAATTGAATCGTTCAGTCTACACATTGAAGAAAGAATACGAGAGCGAGCCAGAAACGGAGAATGAACTGCCGAAGAAGATGGCCGATCTGAGCCCTCGAAAATTCGAGGGAATCGGACCGGTGACTAGGGAAGGTATCCCTCTTGTGTTAAGATCGGTAGGTTGCTAATTATTAAACTAAAAGTATAAATTTTCCAATCGATGCGATGAACGCTTGGCAAGCAGTTATGTAAGAAATGAATGATTTATATCGTCATTTTTAATCACATTACAAACGAGTAATTATTTTACATCGTGCGATGCACTTTCTTAATACTATCTCGATAAATTACTTCTAGGAAGTCAAGGAAAGCAATCAAGCGAAATGGTACAAGAAAATGTATGACTCGTTGCATCGCGCTGATAGAAACGGTAAGTTTTGTAATTACGATGTGATTATTAAATAAATAAAATTTTACTTGAGAGATACAAATAATTATTCGCGTATTTTTGTTATGTTGGACATACAATACTAAATTAATATCATTATTATTATTATTTACGGGCTAAATAAGGAATTTAATATTCGATTCCGATAAATACGCGCATTTGGAATAATAACATTGATCGGTGAACGGGCAATTCGCATATAATTCCATAATTTTGTTTCCAGATGACTACGTAACCATAAAATACAAATCAAGAAGAGGTGAATATACAGCTACCGCGCATGACTGCTGCGATGGTCGAATTGCGACATTTGCTACTAATATTACGCTGTGCGTGGGTGCGCTGCGTAACGCAGTCACTCTAGCCATGATTTGTGTAACAACAGCGTAACTAATACCTGTAAAATAAAACGCGGTGGAGAGATAATTTCCGGTCGTGTAGCAAAAATGTATCGCGTCAGGGTGCTATTTTCCGTATATTGGCAACTGACGTATGGCCTTCTGCGTAACGCAAGATAACAATTGTCGCTGTACATATACTCGCCGTTTAACAGTTACATCGAGCGTGAAAAACAGTAATAAACAATTTGCAACAGATACATAAATGACTACCTTGTCTAACATCCAACTGATAATTAACATCTGCCTCTCCCCGGCGGGACTCTCGTTCTCTAAATTAACATCGTGGTTAATTCGATTAATCGTGTACCATTAATGTGTGTTTTAACTTATGAGAGATTGGTTTACACAGACTGTATTGAACGTCTTATCAGACGGTACGGGATCTCCCATCGAATATATCAAAGTCGGGACAACTTTTCGAGTTAGCGTAAATTCTTCTTCGCTGTCGCGGGGGAACTTCTTGAGTTGATTTGAAGTTCTCACGTTCGATCTTTTGCGACTTTCGTCTTTAGATTGTTTCATCGCGCCAATTCGATCTTCTTGCGAAAAAAATTTAATCCCAAATTTAATTAAAAAAATTCTACTTACAGGAAAAATCGATTAAAATTTAAATTGAACTGAGATTAGGTTTTAATTTCGATGCCGAAGAATCATCTCTCGATGATTAATTCTCGAATAATGTGCATACTAATGTTACGTAACACGGTATGTGTGTATTTCATGTGCGTATGTGTTTTCGTAACTTGATATTTCTATTATAACGTCGTAAGAACTAAACCATACGTAAATACCGAATTGTTTGCGCTCTTAATTGAACGTTATTTGGTTACCGATAGATTTTTTTTGCTGGAACTAAACGGGAACTCGCGAATAGGAACCTGACAACAAACAAAATGCGAAAAACGTTCAACATTCTTGTTTCAGGAGGGAGATATGGATACGGAAGCGGCAGCGGATATTTGAGTGAACCGGAACCGCGTGCATACTCGGATCGATCCGTTACTCTCGATAGCCGTCGACGGCTGCGCAACAAAGAAAATGACTTCACCACGGCGACTATGCCCAGAAAGTAAGCGAGAATTTGGAAACTTTCGCTTGTTTTTCCCAACAATTTGTGAGAATGCTTCAAACCGTTGAAATTTCCTTCCGCATCCTCGATTTTTATCTCTCGATCAAATTTTATTGACTATTGGAACAGATCGTTTCTCAAACAACTGGCATATAAAATATATAGTTCTTTAAGAGATTTATTGATAACGGGACATTTCACATTCTGTTCTAGAAATGGAGCGCTGAAATACTCGACAGAGATTTATAAAAATCAGCCCGGTCGCATCGAAGATTATGAACCAGGGCATTCGTCGATTGCCGAGAAGGAAGCTAAAGAGGTATGGCATATTGTTTTGTCATTCATAACTCGAAAGTAGACAGACCTGCCTGTAATATAAATTAAAGCGCACTTTCCCATAACATCGAAAAGATTCGATCATACGACACCGTATAGAAATTATTAGCTCATCCGAAGAGTAACGATTGATGGGACAATCGAATCTTCTAATGACAGCAATATTTCGCATTGATAGTCTCC